TTGCAAAACCTAAGCCCTAAATCCTAGACCCTGACAGACGCCCGAAACACAGCAGGCCTGACACGGGGAAAGGTTGAACAACAACTCTTTCAAGGTGTCGCGTTAAGGCTCCATCTTGTTCAAAGGATTATTCCCTAGTACCCAAACCCTAAACCCTAAGCACTACATCCTAAACCCTAATTAAATCCTAAACCTGTAAATTCTAACCCCTTTAAACACTAAATCCCACACTCAAGGCTTAGGCCGCCCCCCTACAGTGCACATGGGGGGCGGTGCCTAGCCCTCGACCTCGATGGCGAAGCCGACCCAGGGCGAACGACCACAGCAGCACCCACGTGAGGCCCGGTAGCCGAGCCCGTTCTCTTCGGGTCCCTAAAAAAAGTAAATGCTCTAATTAAACCCCTCCTTGTCCCTGGGGGTGCTCACTTTTTCGGGGAAAATTCCCACAAAACCCCTGGCGCCCAGGGACCATCTGGGACCCCCAAATCCAGTCCCCTTCGGCCACTGGCTTGCTGACCCTTCCTGGGACTGCGCTGTGACCCTCTTACAACCCCCTGACACGAAACGCCCGAAACGCCCTGAAACGGAAGAAGTTTTTAGAAGTGGACTCTTGACTTGAGTCTAGGCCTAAATTGTACAAGGAATAGGTTTGGGTGGCTTTGCCGCCTGGGACGGCGTGGGGTAGGAGAAAAGTGTTAGATGGCCCTCCACAATCGGGCCACACCTGCTCTTCGCGCCTCACGGAGCTTTCGAGCTGATCCCTCATCCAAACCTCACAGCATCTACGCCCTATTACAGCAAACCCTAAACCCTAAACCCTGAACCCTAAACCCCATATTCTAAACCCTAAACCCTAAATCCTGAACCCTAAATCCTAAACCCTAAATCCTAAACCCTAAATCCTAAACCCTAACTCCTAAACCCTAAGCCCTTTAGGGACTCGCGGGAGCCTCTTCCGTGAGCTGCCGTCTCAAGTCAGCAGGCAGGATGCCTACAGAGTTGAGGGTTTTTTTCAGGGTATAGGGTTTAGGCTTTTAGGGTTTAGGGTTTAGGGTTGAGGGGTTTACATTCCCTGAGATAACAACACGCAATGTTGGCTTTCTGGCAAAAAAAGCAGCTCATTTCGTGCCTTCGCAACCCCAAACTGTTATGAATGGATTGTATGCCTCAGATGCTACTGACCCTACCTGAACCCCTAAAAGAATTTCACTGCTGAACTCCTGAATCCTCAAAAGAAGCCGAGGGACTCCGTGCAAACAACTAGGGCATAGGGTGTACCTAGCGTGCACATGTAGCTTAAAAAAAGGTGTAGATGTGCAACGTGTCGGGTTTAGGGTTCAGGGCTTAGTGTTTAGGGCTTAGGGGTTTGGGTTTGGGGTTGGTCTCAGGGTTCCGGGAAGCTTCTACCCCACAGATCCGCGACCGCCCTGGCGTCCGCGCCTTGCAGCGGTGCCGGATGACCAGGCACCTCCTGAGGCCAACCCTTAAAATGCCACCCACGAGGCTCTAATCAACTTCGAGTCGGGTTTAGGGTTTAGGGTTTAGGATTTAGGGTGTAGGGTTTAGGGTTTAGGGTTTAGGGTTTAGGGTTCAGGGTTCAGGGTTTAGGGTTTAGGGTCTGGGGTTTAGGGTTGCTGTCAGGATGCAGGAATGGGAGTTGTTAGAGGTTTTGACTAAACTGAACCCAAGACCTGAAAAGAGCTCCCTAAAGCTAAAGCCCGCGCCGCCAAGTTCACTCAACAACAGAAGCACTAAACGCTTAAACCCCACCTGGACTTGTATCACTAGTACCATTCTTCTGCGTACCAATTTTCTTGTTCTGCTAGCGGCATGTTAAGAACTCGAGCATGAAAGAACTGCAAAAACGGCTCTGGGCCTTAACCCTAGACCCTTCGCCCTTCACATATGCAACCCCCCCCCCCTCCCCCAACGAAACATCCCGGAGCCCTAAACCTGCAGCACCTTCGGAGCTGGGGCTGGAAGGAGTTTGCAGGACTTGGGGTTTCTAGGGTCGGGTTTGAGTGTGGGGCCGCAGGGTTCCAGTACAGGGTGCCATTAGGTTCGAGGGGAGGGTAGGGTAGGTAGGGTGGAGCCCGCTCGACTTAAAACCCTGCCTGAAGCAGGGTTGAGCGTTTAAGGTTTAGGGAACCCGAAACCCTAATAAAACCCTGAAAACCCTTAGACCCCTGAACCCTTGAAACCCTTAGAACTCTCCGAGCCATGAACAGCCAAAAAGCTCAAACCCTGAAGCCCATGTTCAAAAAGAACTCAAAGCCTCGAAGCCTTAAAACCCCAAAACCCTTGAAGCCCCCTAACAACACCAAAAACACTAAACTTTAAACCTAAACCCTAAACCCTAAACCCTTCGCACCAAGAAATGAAAACTCAACCCAGCCGCGCGCATGGCCGCAATGAGCCCTTCTATGGTCTGGACTATCCCAGAGAGGCCCTGGTGGCCGAACCTCATGGCATGGCTTAGGGTTTAAGGTCTCGGGTTTAGGGCTTCGGGTTTAGGGTTTAAGATGAACGGCCCCAAACTGCCCTGCTCTAAGGTCGCTACCATGGGCCCTTAGTATGGTCCCTAATACGCTTGTTGAAAAGGGAGAAGTGTGGCCCTTATGTATAGTGTACATAAATACACGTGTTGTATGGAGGTCTACGACAATAGGGGTACCCTAAAATGGATCGCCAAATAGTAGGATTTCCTTATAAGAAGGAGCCCTAGAGGGTACCCCTATTTTCCTAAGCCCCCATATGGGGGTATACGAAAGTCAAGTAGTAAGATTCCCTTATAATCAGGACCCCAACAAGGCACCCCTAATTTCGGAAAACCCCCCAAAAGGTGGCATAAGGTTTACCTGGAGAGGTGGCATAAGGTTTACCTGGAGAACCCCAAAACCTGCTTCTGTTGCAAGTTCCCATTTCTTAATTTCCAGGTAAGGTAATTACTAGGACATTACTTCGGGGTTATCGGGCGGCTGTCTATCTTACGTGCAGGCATCTTATTGTTTTGAGGCTTCTGCACGGCTGTGCGGAAGAATGAAAGTCTGAAAGATCTTGGCCTGACTCTGAAAACAGAACCCTTGAGGAGAAGATAGAAGGAGGAGTTTTCATCAACTGGAAGCTAGGTGGTACTTTAAGGGTTGTTGTAAGGAGTTAAAAAGAAGTAGAGAGTTTAAGGTTCAGTGATATTAGGGATTAGGGTTTCAAGTTTCAAGGGGTTTAGAGTTTGGAGTCCAGAGTTTAGGGAAGGGGTTTGCCTTTCCTGGTTGTTTCGGAAAGGGGCGAGGTTCCCTGAAGAACCCCATGATTCAAGACATGATTCTGAACTGGGGGCTTTCTCAGAAGCCGCAAGGCCGCGTCCTGACCCCAAAATCCTTTCTTCTGGGAGCGTCTCTCCACCTCTTGCCTTCCCACTCTCCTCCTTGAAACGGACTCTCCAGGTGACACATGCCCAAAGCAGGCTTGAAAAGCAAAGCTCGACATGGACATATCTAGGATTGAAAACCTGGTTCCCTGAAACACGTCTAAGTCATATGACCGTGTAGGTTCAGACCAAGTCATTCCAAGGGCAAATCTCTCCGGAAATGCGAGAGTGATATTTCCACAATCTGCCAAGCACGTTCTTCACACACATGTGTTCATCTCCTCTCTTGGACGCACTGTACCCCTTGGAGGAATAGAAGCCGATCCACCGGCCGTTAAAGAATCCCTGCACAAGCGGCTTCGATCTACAGGCAAATATTGCTGCAAGTCCACGGGTTCCAACTTCAGCTCTGGCCGTCCTGGGAAGTTTACCGCCTTTCTTTTTCGACCCTGCTTCTTCTTCTTGGCCAGGAGTTCGCGAAGCGTATCGCAGAAGGCGGCGCTCTTCTCGCGGTCTCTCTGCACGCTGTCCAGGAGTTGCTGCGTGTCCTTTTGCTCTGCAGCAGTCATTCCGCAAAGCGCCTCTTCGGTATTCAGCAGCTCCAAAGCATCTTCGGCCAGCGAGCTGGCAAACGACCGAAGCTCAAGGTGAGCGACATCTGCTTCAGGCTGCTGGAGGATCGTGCTCATGGCAAGGAGAAGCTTGGCAGGCAGCGTTGCATTCTCTGGGACAGTTTTTTGAAGCTCGAACTCCAAAACATTGTCGACTACGACTAACTGCGAGCGATCGAAAGCACAATGTGATGTGAGGGTCACGCCAATCTAAGCACGTGTCGCGTCATAGGAACAGAGCTAGACACCACAGCGACACTCTCAGCAACAGCATCATCTTCACGAAGCCCTGTCCCCCACTTATTGCTTAACGTAATTTGCAACGCGTATAGTTGACTGTGGCCAGCACGGAACGCCTGAACTGGAGCCGTGGCACAATCGATTGTTTTACAACGCCTGGACGAGTTGGGGGTCTGGCTTTGCATCATGGCCGCATCAGAGCACGCTGTCGTCAGCGGCAACGGACCTCAACGTTTCTGCAGGGACACGGGCCCCGTACTGCGTGCTTCTTTTTCTGCTAAGGATGCTTTATACTCCAGCAATCAGCCATCTGCGCTGGCCAACTCTAACTCACGAGCACACTACCTCAATTGGACATCGTTCTCCGCGTCTCCAGAAACAAAGCACATTGATTGGGCTTCTTGATGAATATAACTTCCATGATGGCTTTGTCAGGATACAAAAACTTGTGCTATGCCTGTGTCATGGAGAATGCCGTGCGTGTGTGTGTGTGTGTGTGCGTGTCGCCACTGAGTGCAATTCCTGCTCGTTCCCGATCTACTCCATTCCCTGCTTTGATTCTCAAAGGTTTTGTAATTTTCCCGGACCATTTCAATTAAGTGCGCATCGCCACTCCCAAGTCGCTTCGTAGTTTAGTCGAGCACCTGGTGTCCCAACCTCTTGCCGGCTAGCACCACAATATTCTTCGAAGGCCTCGCCGCTACACATGGACAGCGGCTACGATGGGCAAACTCCCGTCTGAATTACTGGTTCTCATGCAGGGTGTTGGCTACAAAGAAAATCTAAGACAAGGCAGTCGCGATGTCCTCGGACGTCGCTGGCAGGCCGCTATAGATGTCGCTGAAGCCACAGCCACATCCGGCCTTGTGTGAGCCAATCAAAACAGGACAGCTCGGCAAATGGCCCAGTCTCGAGATCCGCTTCAAGATGCCACGCAAAACCGGAGCAGGCACCTGGCGGGCTTTAGCATCGAATGGCCACTTGTGGACCAGCCTGTCAGCATCACCAAAGATGAAGGCCGCCTTGAACGCTTCACCAGGCCGTAGCATGTTGATGTCGATAGCATCCGACAGCGCTTGGCTTTTTGCCTTTGCGGACCAACTCTGGCCCCTTATCGAACTCTTAGAAAGCGCACAGAAACAAGGCTTTGGGTTCTCTGAAGGTAGGGCTTAGGGCTTAGGGATATTGAGGGCTTAGGACTATTGCAGGGGCATATAGGCTTGCGAGTTTACAAACAACTTGCAACATCGACAGTTTAGAGGGCTGTAATTGGAGGTTCAAGGGCTTTTGCTGAGGGGGTTTAGGGTTTAGGGTTCAGGGTTTAGGGTTTTGGGGTTTCGCGCTTAGAAGGCAAGGAGCTTGGGGATTATAGCACGGCACCCTGAAAATGGGGACCCCCCAAAGGGACCCTAACCTCGAGAACTGCCCACAGACGAGGCCATGAATGATCGGAGTGGGGCATTTTGGGTAGTTTGTTGTAATTACTCAGGGTTTCTGAGGGGGATAAGTTTTGCAACTGCTAAGGCCTGTATTGAGCCCAATGGCGGAAAGGTTTTTTGAACAGCAATGCAGTCTGGGATTGAGGACCAAGTGAACCTACAGAGAAAACCCTCAAACGCTAAACCCCTTCGCTCTAAACACCAAACTTCAAAGCCGAAAACCCACAACACTGTCTAGAGCCGTTCAAGTCCGTTCAAGTGCCGGCTACAATCTGACTCTTGCTGGAAGGGGCACGGAACTTCTTGAGTTTTCGGGCCTAGGGCTTCGGGTAAACCCTAAACCCTATAAACCCTAAACTCCAAACCCTAAACCCTAAACCCTATACCCTAAACTCCCAACTCTAAACCCTGAACCCTCACCACCCTCCAAGGCTGGGTACTTAAAATTAATACATTCCCAAATATGAGCCTCTTTTGTACCCCAATCAGGGGAAATCCAAACATATGCCAAGGGCCTATAGTCTCGATGCATGGTACTTGTTCACCCAATGATAACTGTACCTTATAACCCAGTTCCAACCATTTTTGGGTACTTGAACGGGGCTAATAAGCGGGTTCTAAACAGCGTTATACCCTAAACCTAAAACCCTAAACCCGGGTTTTACGTACCCTGACCTCCAAGTGCTTCCGGGTCACAAAGCCGCATGCTGGCTTGCCGCCACGCGGAAGCCGAGGGCTGTCTGAGCCAGCACCCGCGCTCTTACGGTTTGGGTTGCTAGTTTTTCTTTTTCAGGGTTGTTTAGGATTTGCGTAGGGTTTTATGGGGTGTTTTTTTATTGAAGTAGAGGTGCGCATTGCGCTCCATTAACACTGCTAACAATTATTGCTAAATATCAGCTAACACAACTTTCACTCCAAGCCATTCCTATACGTGATGTTGCTGGGCTATCGGATTGTATACGATACTCCCCTTAGAACCTTATAAAAATAAAAAAACATACATTTAATCTACTCTTGGGGTTTATATAAACAAAAATTTAAAAATATTCCCAAGGGGGATATCGTATGTAACAGTACCGTCAATGTCGAGCCGCAGGCTTAGGTGTTCCGAGCCAGGCAATCTGAACCCTAAACCCTTAAACCTAGGAAGAATGAAAAGGGCCCCTTTTTCCGTTTGAAGGGATTTATCCCTTGTTGGTTTGAAGGGTTTATAAGGGAACCTAAACTCCCCAAAAAAGGGAAGAAGGGCCCCCCTCTCCGGGTCCTAGTATGTACTGGGTTTTGGATGGTTCAGGGTTCCGGGCATGTGAAGTGCGCCGCGCTGCATCGTTCTCGACGACCTCCATGAAAGTGTCTGCCGCAAGCCTTTCTTGGAGGGCCAGAAGGACGAAGGCTCGACGCCCGTGCGATTAGGGTTTACCTAAAGTGCCTTTTGGGCATAGGTAAAGGGTATTCTAGTATACGACCCATAAAAGGTACTACATAGGAGCCTGTGGGTAGGGTTTAGGAAGTTTGGGGTGGCCTGAGGCCCAGAGTGTGTGGATCCCCCCAGGTGGCTTGGCTCAGTTTGGGATCTCAGGGTTCGGGACTTCAAGGGGTCTCGGTTTAGGCTACTAAACATGGCGGAACATGAAGCCCTACAAGTAGAAGCCCTGTCGACCCAGAACCTCGCGCCTGTTCCTGGAACAAGCTGTGCAGGCACTCCTCTAGGATGGCGCTATATTAAAAAGCCCTCTGAAAAATATTCCTGAATATGGTCCTCGTAAACACAATAAGGGAAAAATAACAAAATGTCCCAGGGGTTGTGGGTTTTGGGTTTGGGTTTTGGGCTGAGCGATTAGACCCTTGTCCTCTTCCCTTTTTCCAAGGAGCACTCCGTCCACTTTCTCGCCGCGTCGCCCGCCAAGCGCCCTCCTGGGGTCAGCTTTACGAAAGTTCAGGAATTCGCCCCTAACCCTAAACCCTAAACCCTCAACCCTAAACCCTAAACCCTAAACCCTAAACCCAAAACAGGGTGCGGCCCTCGAGGATGAGTTGGTCTATGTCATTGGCTGGCACTCCCATACTGTATAGAGTCTGAGTTTTAGGGTTTAGGGTTTATGGGGTTTAGGGTTTGGGGTTTATAGGGTTTAGGGTTTAGGGTTTACAGGGTTCAGGGTTTAGGGTTTAGAGTCTTGGTGCAAGAGCCCTAAGCCCAAGCCGTGTTTTTTTGGGGAGGAGTTCGGCCTTGAGCAGATCCTGATGCATGACCACAACTTTCCAGCCTTCGGGAAGAAGCCACCCGTTTCAAGGTTTAGGACCCTAACCCTTAACCCTAAACCCTAAATTCTAAAATCTAAACCCAAAACCCCAAACTCCAAAACCCCATAAACCCCCAAACATGAAACCCTGAACCGTTTAGGGCCCCAACCCCAAAAGCTCCCATCCCTTGGAATCCTAAACCTCGAATGCTCCACCCAGTGCTTCCCTTACCGAACATGGACTTCAAGTAAGGCTTGCCTTAAGAACCCAAAACCTACTCTTTTGGAGGTTACCTGCCATAAGGGGCTTGAAAAGAAGAACCTACGAAAAAGTAGGTTTTGTGTTCCCCTAAGGGTCCATGGACCTCATCATTATCTACTCAGGCCCTTTAAAGCCCCTCTATAGGAGAAGTACTTAAAGGCCCAAGTATTCCGCATCTAGGTACATGGACCCTTGGGGCTCAGAAAGGTATAACTTGAAACCCAAAGCCCCATCTTGTACCAGGCAGCGCAGGCGCCGACACGCGCAGCCTCTCGCAACAGAGCCGGGGAAAGCGCTAAGCCCTAAACCCTAAACCCTACACCCTACACCCTAAACCCTAAACCCTCAACCCTGAACCTTTACATCCTGAACCCTAAACCCTAAAAAACCCTGAACCCTGAACCCTGAACCCTAAAACCCTGAACCCTAAACCCGAAACCCTACCCTAAACCCTTCTCCCTAAACCCCGAAAACGAAACATCCTTAGGCCGTGGTTGGTTTAGTTTCTGTTGGGTTCTGGATTCTTTTGGGCCTTGAGCCCTCCGGGCCCTAAACCTTAAACCCTGAACCCTAAAGTTACCCTCAAATTGATACACGCGGTCCAAGACTATTGTCAACTAGCAGAGGGTTCTGGGCTCATAATATGTCTAACCAGATCTGTATGGTGGGGGGGCGGGGGGGGGGGGGGGGGGGGTGGTGGAAACAATGCCAGGAATCCATAATGTTGCTGCAGATTGCCTAAGAGTTCAATTCTCCCCAGATCCCTAGATCCCAGACCCCAGAACCCTTTTTACTACCCTCAAAACCCCCGGCACGCAAAAAAAAATCCGGGGGGGGGGGGGGGGGAGGGAGTTGGGGCATGTTCAGTAATGCCTCGTTAACAGTAAACCCTAAACCCTAACCCTAAGAGCCTCAGGAAACCTCAAGGGGACCTAAGAACCGGAAAATCCAGGACTTCAAGATCCCAAGATCCCCCAAACCCTAAACCCTAAACCCTAGGTATCCCCCAGCACCCCGGAGGTCTTATAAGCTTGTGGGGTACCTGACCCCCAATCTGAACCCTGAATTTTGTGCCCAAGAAAGGGCCCAAGTGCCAAGAGCCCCGGAGTCCTACTCGGACCCGGCCCCCTCAGGACTCCGGACCGTACCCCCGAAGAGGTTCCCTACTAAACCCAGATCCCTAAACCCTAAACCCTAAACCCTAAACCCTAAACCCTAAACCCTAAATCCTAAACAATATGGCCCTCATCCCTTGAAGGCCCTCATTGTTGCCTTAAGGTGGATCTTTAAACGTTTAGGGTTTAGGGTTTAGGGTTTAGGGTTTAGGGTTTAGGGTTTAGGGTTTAGGGTTCCCAAGCCCAAGCTACAACCTTCGGGGCCCAAGGCTTAAAATCCCATGACAAGAGCCCTCGAGCCGAAGGAACTCGGGCACCGGTCGCGTATGCCCAAGTGGCGGAGTAACGTTTAGGGTTTAGGGTTTAGGGTTTAGGGTTTAGGGTTTAGGGTTTAGGGTTTCGGGTTTAGGGTTCAGGGTTCAGGGTTTAGCGTTTAGGGTTGAGGGCATAACCCCTCACCCCCTCATTCCCTTCAACCCACCTGAGCCCTGAGACCCTCTAAACCCCCAAAACCCCACCCCTAAAAACCCGAAACCCTCTAAACCGCCGAAACCTCCTAAGCCCCTTAGCCCCCCTAAACCCCCTAGGGGACACCTGGGCCCGCCTCAAGTTGAGATCGACGACTTCCTGTAGGGAGGCCACGAAAGGGGCGGCATCCGAGCGCAGCCTGAACCATATGGGTTTGGGGTTTGGGGGTTGAGGTTTAGGGTTTCGGGTTTAGGGTTTAGGGTCTAGGTTCAGGGTTTAGGATTTAGGTGTCTTGGGGTCTGGGGATCTTGGGATCTTGGGGTCCTGGGTTGAGGGGTTTGGGGGATGAGGGGTTAGGGTTTAGGGTTTAGGGGGTTAGGGCGTTCGGGGTTCAAGGGTTTATACGGCTTCGATCGGCTTCGGGGATGAGGGGTTAGGGGGTTAGGGGTTAGGGTTTCGGACGCAGTTTTGCTAAGAAAGGTGGAAACTCTCCCTGTTTGCGGGTGCCTAACGCCCTCATAGTTTATCCTGATCCTGAGATAAGGTACCCAGCCACATAATTAAGGGGCACGTGAGACAATAAACCCTAAACTCAAATCCCCAAACCCTAAATCATAAACCCTCAGGCCTTACTAAAACCACTCTCCAGTTTGATGCTTGATTATATTATTTCCGCAGCGCTTTGCTAGCTCGGTTCTCGCATAAGCTTGAAAGCCCCCCGCCCCCCCCCCCCCCCCCCAACCCTAAACCCTAAACCGCCACACACACACAAAGGGTTCGAGCTGAAACAACCCTCAGCCTCAACCCTATTTCCAGACCCTGAACCCTACAAGCAAAATAATCCCAATGCACCCAACTAACCCCACACGGAAAGCCTGAAGTGTTTAGGGCTTACCTGAGGCTATACAAAGAAGAGGCTAAGTGCTACGAATATTCACCCTAAACTCCTAAACCCAGACCGGCCCCAAGGTAGTTGATGCTTTATTGTGGCGCCATTCTTGGTGGTTCGCCATAGGTCCCTATTGAACCCAGTACTTTGGGATGTTCCCCCTTATACTAACAGTCCTTAGAAGGGATCATGACAGGGGGTACTCTTTTCCCTATCAAGGACTGTCAGCATAAGGGCGAACATCCCCAACCCAGGGGCTGAAAATACCTAAACCCCAAGCCCTAAGCCCTAAGCCCTAAGCCCTAAACCCTAAACCCAGGGCTTGACGGGCTTGAACATACCGGAAGTCAGTCAGCCTCTGCATGGTCAACGTGAACTGCGGTGGCTGGCCGTCCTCGGCCTGGCATCTGGAAGCAGCTCAGGGACCATAGTATAGGGGACCCTGAACTGCACTTGTGCGATGATTCTTTTTTGTACTTAACATTATTACTAGTACTCTTCTGATTAGTTATGACTATTACTAGTGCCTGTAATAATATTTTGAATGTCACTACTGTTGTTATTGCTTTAGGGGTCTATCGGGCTTGCCAGCATCTCCTTTCAGGGCTTTGAGGATGCCAAACTTGTGGAGCTTCGGGCATGCCCCGGTTTAGGGTTTAGGGTTTAGGGTTTAGGGTTTCGGGTTTAGGACTATACTCGAATCCCCGTTGACCAACCCAAAAAGGAACTACATTAGAGCCTTCAGGAACACCAAACCCTAACCCTCGGGCCCCTCGACTCTAAACCCAATAATTCTTTGGGTTTTGGAACCTGATCTTTCCTCTAAGCCTGTTGATCCGCCAGCCTCGGTGACAGGGCGCAGCATCATCACGGTCCTCGCCTCCTCGGACGTAGCGAGGTCGACCTCGCGCGAGCAGCCCCACGTAATTGCAGCACACATCCTCTCCTACAATAGTTTCGCATTGATTTCCCCTTTAACTAGCGGTGCTTCATTGGATTATAATAGGGGTACTATAAACCCTAAACCCCAAGCCCTAAGCCCTAGGCCCTAAGCCCCAAACCCATCCCAAGTTTCACATCCCAAAGCCATATCGCGCCTCTCCCATGCTCGCGATGCCGATAGCACCGACGTGCAGGCCCTGTGCTGCCACGAAGACGAGCTCGTCCACCTCTCAGGCAAAACTCAAGCGACTCAAGGAGGAACCCTAATGTTGGACCTTAGGGGTTTCTTATTTAGGGGCTACTTCGGTACATAGGGACTAGGTAAGGTATGTATAGGGCTTATATGGAAAAGTAAGGTCCCTTCTAGGGATTCCCTTAATGCACCTAAACTAAACCGTTAAAACCCCAAGCCCTGAACCCCCACTTAGTTGCTGAGTTCATAAGCCCCAAAGTGTACACTTCAGTTCTATAAGTATAGTATCCCAAAAAATGTAAAGTTTACTCATGCAGCCACTACTAAGTAAGCCCTAACCCCACCCCCCCCCCCCCCCCAAAAAAAAAAAAAAAAAAACACACACACACACACACACCCTCAAACCTCCCCGTCGCTCTACTTCACTACCAATTGTATCCCCTTACTTGGAGGTTCATGGGTAGTCAAAAGTAGGGTTCTAAGTACACTAAACAAGGTTATAGCCACGTGTCGCTATAGTTATCGTGGTTATAACCCCACTTATAGTTACCCATGAACCTCCAAGTAGTCGACTTACAAGGAGGGGGCCCCCCTAGTTATAAGTAAAGCAACAAAAACTCCTAAATTTGGTTCGAAGGATCCAAACTTAGGTTCTAAGTCCTTTAACTATAGTTGGTATAGTAAGGGGGCCCCTCCTTGTATGGAATGAACGAACGTAGCCCCAAAGACCAGGTCTTGTTAGCTAGGCACCTTTCTTCGGCCCAGCCCAAACCCTGAAAACGCCATGCCTGCAACCCAGCAACCTGCCCTAAACCCTAAACCCTAAACCCTAAACCCTAAACCCTAAATCCTAAACCCTAAACCCTAAACCCTAAACCCTAAACCCTAAACCCTAAACCCTGGCCTGATCCAGGGCACCGCCGCCCATATCGACCCAGGCACGCTCGTTTTGCAACCTGCAGCAGCCCCCAGCTTCAGTTTAGGGGCCTTCTTCTCCGAACCCCTGAACCCCCCAATCCCCTTCGACCCGCTCCCCTTAGGACCAGTATATGCATGATGTTGCTCCTTTCGGATTTATAATAAACAAAAGCATCCTTCCCAAGAAAACTACAGCATAAACCCGAAATCTACTTGAAGCTTCGTACCCTAAGTAAGGTGATGACCAGTTAGATAGTTACCTTAACCTCCCCCTGATAGCTACCCATGAACCTCCAAGTAACCCTAAACCCTAAACCCTAAACCCTAAACCCTAAACCCTAAACCTTAAACCCTGAACCCTGAACCCTAAACCCTAATCCTAAACCCAATACCTTCACGCCGGGGCCTCTCCGGATCCAGGTGGCTTGTCCAAACAAGCTGAAGGCCTGATCTCAATATGGAGCGGATGGAAAGGAAAGGGTTCGTCGTTTCACCTTGGGGGTTCCCAAAAAATGGAGGTATCCCATTGTTTCTTTTCTTTTTGCTGAGTTTGGCCGGGGGGGGGGGGGGGGGTCCCAGAGTACGAATTTCGGGGGTATCCTCCCCCCCCCCCCCCCACCCCCATATCTCGAACTTCTGAAGCATGCTTCTTATGGTCTCATCCTAGCATAACCAACGAAGTTGCTTACAGGGCTTGGGGCGAACAAAGCCGAAAACCGCCTAAACTCCCTCAACCCGAAACCCTGAACCCTAAGCCCTGAACCCTAAACCCTAAACCCCCAAACCCTGAACCCCACAAGTTTTTCGGGAGAGAAAAGTTGTGAATCAACCAGATGCAGAGTTGGAACTCGGGCTCAAGGGCTCCAAAGGTGTGGCATGGGCCCGCTGCCTAAACTTACGTAGTGCTTCGTGGTAGGGATTTTGTATAATCACTAACCCCAAGGCTGCAAGGACTCTTTCTTGTCTTGGGGTTTGGGCCCAAGAGGTTTTTGGGCTTTTTTGAGCCTAAGGTTAAAGAGAATGTGCTCAAGGCCTGTTTCTTTTTTGGTTGGAGGGGGGAGGGGGGTTAGGGTATGGTGTTTGGGGTTCAGGTGTGATACTTCATCACGAAGACGGCTCGCAAACCATGTCCCCGATAGTTAGGGTTCCAAACAACTCGGAGGATGGGGTTCAGGGTTTGTGGTTTAGGGTTTAGGGAAACCCCAAGCCCTATGAGAATGGCTTCAGAAAGTTGGGTTGTTTTCGTGGTACACCGGCTACGGAAATGCCCATAGTCAACAACGCCACTTGCAAGCACAGCGTCCCAAGCGTCCGCCGATCAGTGCCTTTCAGGGAACTTGGGCTGGGCAACCCTCCTAAAGCATCTTGGGGGAGGTCTTAACTTGGTTGAGGGTTTAGGGTTTAGGGTTACGGTATAGAGTTAAGGGTTAAGGGTTTAGGGTTTAGGGTTCAGGGTCCTCAAGCGGGCCTTTGGAGCTCCGACTGGTGGTGCCCAGCGCGCAAAGAGCGACCGGACCGACACCGGGCGCGAGAAGCGGAGGTAGCCTGGAGGTTGTGGCTCGGGTTTAGGGGGCTTCGGGCTAGGGTTCAGGGTGCTCTCAGGGTTTAGAGAAAGGCTGTCGGGTTTAGGGTTCGGGGGCTTAGGGTTTAGGGGTCATAAGTTTAAGGTTTTGGGGTTTAGGTTGGTTGGTTGGTTGGTTGGTTCAAAGACACCGATGCGTCATCTCTGAGCAGAGAACGGGGGAGAGCCCGCCCGCCCCAGAAAGCCAAAGCAACTGCCGCGGCAGCACTGGTATAATGCCTCCAGGAACCCCCTGTCTCAAGCACAGAGGTTTTATCATGCCTCTGCGGGACGACCGTGCCAGTGCCAGAACAGGCGTGCACCTTGGCATATGAGCCTGGCAAATTTTGTAGCCACGATATCCGCGAACCGTGGCTGACCAGGACTCCAAGATCTTCAAGGCTACTGCAGGGCCTCGTTGTCGGAAGTTGTTCGCAGCTGCCAACCACGTGTAAGTAGATGCTGGTATACCTTAAACAGAAGGAGCTGTTATGAGGGGCCCGTTGGGGAAGGTGGCACAGCACCAGCACCATTAAAAAAACTGTACTGTAAACTTCAGGAACAATTATTGGGAAGGTGTCACAGCACCAGCTTCAAAGAACTGTGAGCTTCAGGAAAAACGGTCGGGAAGGTGGCACAGCACCAGCGCAACCCAGTAAAAGAAAACTGTGATCGTCAGGAGAAATGATCGGGGAAGGTGGCAGAGCGCCAGCGCAATATGCCATCAGGAACCGGGCAGATCATCCCTTCAACTCCCCGAGTTCTTGGGAGAAAACCTAGACCCTAAACTCCCTGAACCCTAAACTCCCTGAATTTTGCCCTAAACTCCCTAAACTCCCTAAACTCCCTAATTTTCCCTAAACTCCCTAAACTCCCTAATTTTCCCTAATTTTCCCTAATTTTCCCTAAACTCCCTAAACTCCCTAAACTCCCGTTCAACTCCCTCAACCCTAAACCATATAGACCCCAGTCTTCACGGCTTCGCCTCTGTGCCCTGCCACTCCCCTCACCTTGAGGGCCCCCCAACCTGGTTCTTACTAGGGGATGGGGGAATTAGGTACCCTTCATCCCCTATCTATGAATATATAAATAAATCTAAAAGTAAATATAAATATAAACATATAAATATAAATATCTAAATATACATATAAATATAAATACAAATATCTAAATATACATATAAATATAAATATAAATCTAAATTTAAATATAAATATATCAAATTATAAAAAAAAGTGTATATATATATATATAGACACACACACACCCCCTTTAAGGGATTACGTAGGGTACCTAATTCCCTCATTCCCTACTCAGAACCAGCAAGCCAATCAAGGGTCGACCTCGAATTTTCCAAACTTTCGTCGCCACCAAGAAGAGTTGTGGCTTGGGATGTTCCCCCTTATACTAACAGTCCTTAATCGGGAGTGCTACTACCCACAAGCTTAGTTGCTGAGTTCACAAGCCCGCCCGCCAAAGTGCACACTTTCAGTTCTATTGGGATTTTGGTATCCCGAAAGTGTAAAGTGTACTCATTTCAGCTACTAACAGAAGAGCTGTGGGAAAGGGCAGCACAATCATGTGGGCGTATGAGTATACTACATGAAGAAGGGACATGCGATTGTCGGGCATGGGTCCTGCGGACATAAGCTAAGATCCAGAACCCAAGCTCGAAGACCCTTAACTGTCCTCCATAAGCAGAATGTTTGTTTATATTTCCTTGGGTTTTAATATCAAACAAACAGAACATAATGCCTAAGGGGGTCTATGGTTAAGCCCTTGAGTCTCAAAACCCTGAAGCCCTCAAATCCGCCATCCCCAAAAAACCGGAATCGCCAAAGCTCATGCAAAAAAAAACCCGGACCTTTCAACGTACCCTCCCCCCCCCCCCCCCCCCCCCCAACAAATCACCTGTAAGGAGTATGTAGGCCAATCACGTGGTACATCACCCGAACCCTAGCAAACCCACAACCCCCCCATCGAATCCTGACTAGTGGCCAATGGATCCCCCGAGCTCTGCGGAGACTGACAGCCTGAGTAAGGAGGGTGAGTCAGGAGGGTTTAGGGTTTAGGGTTTAGGGTTTAGGGTTTAGGGTTTAGGGTTTAGGGTTTAGGGTTTAGGGTGTTGAGGGGTCTGGGGAATTAGGGGTTTGAAGGGCTATTGAGGAGCGGCTGCGTGCTACAGGTACCGAATAAGACTACGACTACGACTACGACTACGACTACGACAAAAGGCAATAACAACAGCAACAGCTGCTGCCGCCGCTGCTGCTGCTGCTACACCAGGAACTGCTACGGCTACTTCTAGTACTTCAGCACTACCACTACAACTCAGAGGTTTGCTTTGTTTTCCCATGCGCGGTTTTGGGGTATGAAAGGGAAAGCTTAATCATGGAAATCTAAGGTCAGGCCAAGGGCCCTAAGTCTTAAACCCTCACGACACGGGTGCCATATACAAAGGACCCAACAACATTGAGGCAACTTTCGGTCTCCAACTTGAAAATTTGTGTTAAATTAAGGCACATTTTTTGACTACGATGTCGGCACATCGAACCCTTAGGGTTCTTAGCAGCCCAGCAACTATCTTATAATAAGGGCACCCTTTTTGGGGTTGGTTACTCTATACGGGAACCTTGAACCAACAAAATAGAAGGAAAGGGTACCACCGGGCTACCAAGGGTTCTTGGCTGCACTTAGCAGGGTAGCTATTAATTTTTAATTCTTAGCTGCCTTATTCAGAAGCCCCAATAAACCCAAAAAGGCTAAGGATCTAAAGTCACAGTAAAGCACCCCAGAGGGTTAAAGTCCCTAAACCCTAAACCCTAAACCCCTAAACCCCTAAACCCTAAACCCTAAACCCTAAACCCTAAACCGGTTAAAGCACCCAGGCACTGTTGCTCGGCCACAGCCTGGCGAGGTCGACTCGTGGAGTCTGGGGCCCGGGGCCTAAGACCCCCGTTTGGGATTTAGGGTTTAGGGTTGAGGGTTTAGGGTTTAGGGTTTAGGGTTTAGGGTTTAGGGTTAGGGTTTAGCGACCCTCTTTACCTACAGCTTTTATGGGCTCTACCTACGAAGTAAGGTAAGTACTGGTAAACTGTAGGTAAGATAGAGACCCAGGTCGAACCCGTGGACCCAATGCCAAGATTCAGATCGCAAGCTGAAATCCTTGAACCCTAAACCCTCCACATCGCCCCCAAGCCCCTGACCCCAAGCCCTAAACCCCAAAGCTTACAGGCCCTGAACCGCAAACCCCATGCCCAGGGCATCCTACTCCCAAAACCCATGATCTCTGCGCACTATACAGCCCTAACCCTGCCTTCCAAGAACAAAAAAGTATATAAGAAGGGGTACATAAAGGGAAGCGCTAAGCCCGAAACCCTCAACTCCTAAACCCTAGACCCGGAACCTCAGCAGGGCCAGCAACCTGAGAGGTCTCTGGCCTTCTTTTGGACGATGCCGAAACCGCATTTAGGGTTCAGGATTCAAGATTCAGGGTTTTGGGTTTGCTGGACCCTGAAAAAATTCCTAAACCGGAACGCCCTTCGATGCCGGACCGGTTGAGCAGAGCGCTAAGCTTGTGGGAAGACTTTCGGGATGTGGGGCGTCAGGGTTTTGGGTTCAGGGTATAGGTTTAGGACTTATATACGGGAGATCGCTGCCTGTCAGGTATGTTACGGCACGTTAAGTTCAGCCGTGCCACCCAAGTGCCCAAGACCCTAAACCCTAAACCTAAATCCTAAACTAAACCCTGAATTTTAAAGTGCTCACTGCGCATCTGCTGCATCTCTGTGGGGATGCTAAGTCCTACACCCTGGACCCGAAGCATTCTACCCCAAGGCTCCTATGTAGTAACTTTTTTGGGTAGTATACTCGAATTCACGTTAACTTGACTAAAAAGGTACTTTTGTAGAGCCTTCAGGCAGGCAAGCTTGTCAACCCCAACTCGCAACGGCTGGGATTTGAACTGCAACCATCTCTGCAGGGTAGAAGGCTGACGCTTCAGGGTTTAGAGTTTAGGGCTTAGGCATTTGGGGGTTTACGCGAAGAAGGGACCCTAATATAGACCCCTAAATAGTGGGGCTCCCTTATAATGAGGACCCCAATAAGGTACCCCTAATGTCGGAAACCCCCATTTAGACTTCATGGCTTGAACGGTGGGGGTGCAGGGAGTCACGAGAGGGTTACGGAGGCCTCGCTGTTCGGCAAGCCAGCCGCAATCGGGACGTCAACGCCAGGAAGAGCCTGAAAGAGGTAACTCAAAACCCTGTCTTGTTTTATAGGGTTTAGGGTTTAGGGTTCTTAAGGGGGTTCAAGGGGGCTATGTAACCCAAGCTTCCCTAATACTCCCCAATACTCCCTAATGCCCCCTAAGCTTCCTTAACGTTCCCTAGGCATCTACCGTCCATGAACCCCCTCACTTAAACTTCTTAAGAACCCTAAAAGATTAAAGGACAAAACAAAGAATGGCTCAACACAAAGCTGGCACTGCCCCGAATCCTTCAGGTATGCTGGCCATCAAAAACATGCAAGTGACATGCAAAGAATGGCTCAACACAAAGCTGGCACTGCCCCGAATCCTTCAGGTATGCTGGCCATCAAAAACATGCAAGTGACATGACATCCCACATGAACTCTTTACAAGACGGACTTTGCACTATGCAATGACCTGCCCCGGAGGTCCACTGTGATATTTCTTCTTTCGGGGATCTTGTCTTCACTTTTGATGCCCAGTGGCGAGATCTAGCGCCGTCTGTACCGTAGGAGTGTCACTAATTGTACATTTAATTACTTGAAACACATGACCGCAGGAAGATTTATTTGCTATCCTACGAGACTCGGAAACCCTGGTGCCACTGGAGTCAGAAAGGCGTTTGGCCTGGGAGATGTGCCTAGCAACCAGTGCGGAGCTCCTAAGGGTCAGGCATGGCGGGATTTGGACGGTTTACGATTTATGGGGATTAACCAAAGCCGGAAAGGATTAACAAGAGATGGGGTATAAAGCTCCAGGTACCTGAAGGCTCTTATGCAGTCACTCTTCGTAGCATTCCTATTACGACCTTTAGTATACAGCCCTAACACGTACTACGTTGAAGGCTTGAAACTTTAGGTAAACCTCAACCCCTAAGCCCTGCACCCTAAAGCAAAAAAAAGCAAACCCCGGAGTTAGCCACAATTCCTGTCAGCCCCAGCCCCGGGATGAAAAATGGGTCATATACCCTGTATTACTAGAACTCCTATGAAGGTCTATGAACCATACACCCTTTTTGCCTTTTTTAGGGTTCATCTTGTCCGCCAGGGAAGGTCCAGCCCTCAAATCCTCAAGCTCGGACGCCCCAAGGCATTCGCAACGCCAGGTGGCCAGTGCACCATCACTCACAGATTGGGGAAGACCTGCCGAGAATGACAACGGGTTCTGATTTGGGCCCTATAACCCCTAAACCCTAAACCCTAAACCCTAAACCCTAAACCCTAAACCCTAAACCCTAAACCCTCAGTGTTTTGTTTGAATTTCGGTGGCGCTTGCCAGTGGATGTGGGGCATGGGCACCTCGGGGCGCCTGGGAGTTTGAGCCTTGCGGGGGCAGCACCGAAAAACGCTTGCCTCTACACCAGCGGATAGGATTAGGGGGACCCTTGGGGATATAGACCCTCTGAATAAGGCCCCTCTTTAAGAGAGCCAGAAGAAGGTTAATTAAGAAGGGTTCCCTTTTTAAGGGTCCCCCTTATCCTACACAGGATACACTGTATGGGGACGGCCAGTCATGAACACTTACCCCTGTTCGTGTCCCTGAGACTTGAGAAGTTATCACCTTACGCCGCCCGTTGAAATTATATAGCAACTACAGTACAGCCACCAGGTAGAGGCTACAGCGTTCTTACAGTCGACTAGACGGCAGGCTCGCGCACTCACACCCAACATCTGTTGCGGGCTTCGGGGGCGTGATTCCGGGAGAGCGCCTGCGACGGCGCGACCGGCTGAATGGCCTCAGGCACATGCCCCTGCGTCCCAAACCCGATGGCGATGTTCGTGGATGCCAGAGACATATCCTTAACCCTAAGCCCTAAGACCTAAACCCTAAACCCTAAACCCTAAGCATGATTACCATGGGCAGAACTGCCGGGAGCCCGACAACAATTCAACAAGCCAAGGGGCCCCCTGGCAAGGATTTGAGGTTTGATGCTACAACGGGCTTCTTCAGCACAGACCTGGCAAACCCATCACTCGGGAAATAGGTACCAAGAACCATTAAGAACCATTAAGAACCATTAAGAACCATTAAGAACCATTAAGAACCATGAAGAACCATGAAGAACCATGAAGAACCATGAAGAACCATCAAGAACCATTCAGAACCATACTAATTCCACACAAAACTCTGAGTGGATCCATTATACACCACCGAAGACCCCAAACAGTCAAAGGCACATCAAAGAAACAGTGGAGACGAGACAAAAGGAGACGAAGGGAGACAAAAGGAGGCGAGGAGCACAGCAACCCGGCAAAGCCACCCACATGAAGGGAGACAAAGGGAGACAAGGATAACAGGAACCCGGCAACAGTCCTCAGAATTTCGGCAATCCTTAAAGAATTTAGAACCCCAACAGCAGACTGTTTGGGAACAAATCCTGGCCTCTGCTTGGAGGCTCATGGGTAGATATTTCTGGACTTGCGTATGTAGAGCACATGAAAAGTGAGTCTCAGTGGTCATGACTCTAGTTGCAGGTTCTGAACCTATAACTACCCATGAACCCTACCCAAAGGCTCCTATGTGGTACCTTTCTTGAGTAGCACACTAGAATCCCCGTTGACTAACCCCAAAAAGGAACTGCATTAGAGCCTTTAGGTAAACCCTCAAGCCCTCTAACTAGGTTGCCCAGTAACCTAGGATTAAAAAGGGTGCCCTTTTTTGCTTAAAGGGGTTTATAGGGGAACCTAGAGCCCCCAAAAAGGGAATAAGGGCACTACTGGGCATCCTAGCTAAGATCTGAAGCTCCAAAGGTCTGCAGGCTAAGAGCAATCACGCGCGATCCAGCGCCCGTCGAAAGTGGCTACCACGTTGCTCGGCAGCCCTTGCGAGAAAGTTACTGGCCTGGGCGGGCCGGAGGGTTCTCGGCCTTCAGAACAGGCTTGCCTAGAGGCTGTAAAGGCTCGAATGTAGTCCCTTGTTGGGTTAGTCAGAGGAATTCTAGTATGCTACCCCAAAAGGTACTACATAGGAGCCTTTAGGTACTTTGAAAGAGGTTACCTTGGTGTGATCAGACTTAGACTCAGCCGGCAAAATGTTTTGGCCAATAGAACTTCCATAGTGATTCCTTTGCATAGACACTGTATGGAAATTCCATTGGCTTGAAAACCCCGAGGCAAATTCTATAAGACAAGGCAAACGTGCAGCAGCACTATATTTTTTGTTGGCCGGAGACCTCCGCGAATCGAGAGCGAACGCATTCGAACCGAAGGTACAGTCTCGGATCCTTGCGCACAAACCTTAACGCACCAAACAACACCTTGAGGACACTTGAATTCCCACAATCACAGCCGCAAACAAAGAGTCTGAAAACAAAAAAACACATAAAGTCCCAGCCAGAAAGTTCACATACTTCCATGGAACTTAGCTTCCAGAAAGGGTTGTTACAGCAGGGGGGTTCAAGGCGGGAAAAGCCTAGGGAGCCTTGGAAAAGTAGTGGGGAGTATTAGGGAACCTTGGGTTACATGCCCCCACTTGACCCCCGCTCTCTTAAGAGCCCTAGAACAAACAAAACAATGGACATGTTATTTGCACTTTGGCTACCAATTGGGTACAAACATGACACAAGGCCAAGCCTCCAATAAAGATCTGATGAGACGGTGCTGCACCTATGCACGCTTAGTATATTGCCCTAAACCCTAAACCCTAAACCCTAAACCCTAAACCCTAAACTCTAAACCCTAAACCCTAAACCCGGGAAGCAGTTCAACGAAGTTCGGCGAACCCTTCAAGGCCACCACCATGAGCTGGGGTTTAGGGTTGTGTGCCACGCTCCAGCAATAGTACCCTAGACTCCCACGCATCAGTCGAAACTTGAGCAGCTGCGTTGAGAAGCCCAGGGGTTCAGGTATAGGGCTTATATACCCTAAGCCAAACTAAACCCTGGAAAGCCCAGACGTTGCAGGGCACTGTAGTAACCCCACACCCTACCCAAAGGCTATGTAGTACCATTTTTGGGGTGGTATACTAGAATCCCCTTTAACTAAAACCAAAAGGAACTACATTAGAGCCTTTAGGTAACACCTGAAACCCAACGAGCCGAGCGTCAGCCGCCGGTCAAGCTGAGCGCCCGTAAAATGCAGCAATCCTCTGGACTACGGGTTTAGGGTTTAGGGTTTAGGGTTTAGGGTTTAGGGTTTAGGGTTTAGGGTTTAGGGGGTCTAGGTCCGCGAGTTGCCTTCGAGATGACGGCTACCCTTTTGTCCTTCTTGCTAGGTTTCTAAAGAACCCCCCCTGTGTCTACCTTATGGGCCCCAAACAAACCTGCTTTTTCGTAGGTTCTTCTGTATAAAGCCCCTCGTAGGATTCTTAGGAACCCTACAAAAAAGCAGTTTTTTTTTTTTTGTTTTTCGTAGGTTCTTCTGTATAAAGCCCCTTTGTAGGATTCTTAGGTCCCCTGCAAAAAAGCAGCCTTTTTTTCGTAGGTTCTTCTGTACAAAGCCCCTTTGTAGGATTCTTAGGTAACCTGCAAAAACCCTAATCCCTAAACCCTAAAGCCTAAACCCCAAAAAGCAGGTTTTGGGGTTCTTAAGGTAGGCTCATGGGTTCATGTACAAACGGATCCAGATCTAGGCAGGACTGCGCGTCCCAAAGCGCGAAGGCCTCCGTAAGGTTTAGGGTTTAGGGTTTAGGGTTTAGGGTTTAAGGGTTTAGGGTTTATAGGGTTTAAGGTTGAAGGTTTAGGGTTTAGGGTTGAGACGTGGCCAAGCAGCCACAGGTCCGAAATCAGGAAATATTTATTTTACGCTTTTGGATACGATTCTGATACAATTCTGAAATACGATTTTACCAGGGGTGCAAACATGAGATACGATTTAAATACGATTTAGATACGATTTGGAGACAATTGAAGTTCGACGCAGACTCAGACACCAATCGGATACGACTCAGATACGATTCAGATACGACGTAGCGTTCGTGAGATATGTAGTGTAGAGTCAGCATCTTTATAGAGATCTTTTCTGTTGGACAGGCAAACAGTGGGGCTCTTCATATTTTGGGAAGCAGGGGGGGGGGAGGGGGTGGGGGGGCGGGGGTGAGGGGAGGGGGAGGGGAGGGGGTAGGTGGGTGAGAGGAAGGGTAAAGGTGAGTGAGGAGAGGGGGTGAGGAGGGGAATGGGGGGCCGGGGCACGGTGGGGCTGGAAGGGTTGGACTGCAGGCGGACCTGCGACGTTGTGGGGTCCCTCTACTTTTTCGGGCTTGTTGGTTGCCCGGCCAGGTTTCCAAAGTCGTATCCAAAATCGTATCCAAAATCGATACGATTTTGGATACGATTGTGGTGGTTTTGGGGACGCAGAACCGTTGGTTTTTTTCTTTAAGGGAGCCAAATCGTACCACAAATTGTATCCAAAATCGTCTCTATTCCCCAATGTGGGGAAGGATTTACAGATACGATTTTGGATACGATTTGGGATACGATCTGCCCCCCTCCGCCCTGCCCCCCGCCGAAGAAGCAGGAGGGGGGGGGGGGGGGGGGGGGTGAGGAAATCGTATCCCAAATCGTATCCCAAATCGTATCCAAAATCGTATCCAAATCGTACCCAAAATCGTATCTATTCCCCAATGTGGGGAAAGATATACGGAATACCATTTTACATACGATTCTGGATACGATTTTGGATACGATTTTGATTTGGGATACGATTTGGGATACCATCTGCCCCCCTCCCGCCCTGCCCCCCTGCCAAAGCATGAGGCGCTGGGGAGGGTGGGAGGGGCGGGTGGGATAAGATTTGGCACACGATCTGCCCCCTCCTGCCCTTGGGGCGGGGGGGCTTCTTCGGGGGGGGTGGGCGGCGGGAGGGCAAATCGTATCCCAAATCGTATTCCAAGTCGTATCCCAAATCGTGTCCAAAATCGTATCCAAATCGCATCCAAAATCGTATCTATTCCCCAATGTGGGGAAGGATTTATGGATACGATTCTGGATACGATTTGGGATACGATGTCGGATACGATTCGGGATGCGATTTGGGATACGGGGAGGGGGGCGGGTTCGGGGGGGGGGGGGGGGGGGGGGGGGGGGGGGAGGCCAAATCGTATCCCAAATCGTATCCCAAATCGAATCCAAAATCGCATCCAAATCGTATCCAAATCGTATCTATTCCCCAATGTGGGGAAGGATTTATGGATACGATTTTGGACACGATGCTGGATACGATTTTGGATACCATTTCGGTTACGAATTGGGATACGAATTGGGATACGGCCCTGCCCCCTGCGCCAAGGGGGGGGTGGGCGGGGGGGGGGGGGGGTAAATCGTATCCCAAATCGTATCCAAAATCGTATCCAAATCGTATCCAAAATCGTATCCATTCCAATGTGGGGAAGGATTTATGGATACGATTTTGGATACGATTCTGGATACGATTTTGGATACGATTTCGGTTACGATTTGGGATACGATTTGGGATACGGTCTGCCCCCTCGGCCCTGCCCCCCGCGCCAAAAGGGGAGGGTCGGGGGAGGGTTGGGAGTCGGGGGTAGGGTCGGGGGGGGGAGGGGGGCAGAAGGCGAAATCGTATCCCAATCGACTCCAAAATCGTATCCAAATCGTATCCAAAATCGTATCTATTCCCCAATGTGGGGAAGGATTGATGGATACGATTTTGGATACGATTTGGGACACGGTCTGCCCCCTCCCGCCCTGGGGGTGGGGGCGGTGGGGGCGGGGCGGGGTGGGGGTCCGGGGGGGGGGGGGAGGGGGGGGGGGGGGTCGAGGAGGGGGGGGAAGGCGAAATCGTATCCCAAACCGTACCCCAAATCGTATCCAAAATCGTATCCAAATCGTATCCAAAATCGTATCTATTCCCCAATGTGGGGAAGGATTTATGGAAACGATTTTGGATACGATTCTGGATACGACTCTGGATACGATTTCGGATACGATTTGGGATACGATTTCGGATACGATCTGCTCCCTCCCGCCCTGCCCCCCAGCCGAAGCAGGAGGCGGGGGGCAGCGGGAAACGATTTATGGATACGATTTTGGATACGACTTGGGATACGATTTGGGTTACGATGTTCGGTGATTTTTTGGGTGCAAAATCGTATCGAAATCGTATCCAAAATCGATACGATTTTGGATACGATTTTGGGGCCTCTTCGCTTGCGCGATACGATTTTGGATACGATTTTGGGGCCGCCTCGCTTGGACGATACGATTTTGGATGCGCTTGTGGGGCCACCTCGCTTGAGAGATACGATTTTGGATACGATTTCGGATCTGGCTCGTTTTGGGGTAAGGCCGTCCAAAGTCTATCTAGAGTCCAATGTCTAGATTTCCAGAGACAAACGCTACCGTCAACGACTGCGAGCTCCCTTGAGCTGGGTGAGCTGCGCATGTACGCTCGGGGGCGCATGGAGACTCCATCAACGACAATCGTATAAAAATCGTATCTAAAACCGTAATAAAATGGTATCCCCCAACCCTTCGAATCGTATCCTAAACCGTATTAAAATCGTATTGAAATCGTATTGAAATCGTATCCCTCCATCGACACAAACTTAGATCGTATCCCTTCGTCGTATTGAAAACCGTATCCAAATCGTATCAAAAACATTTCACAAAACCCTTCCTGTGGCTTCTTAACACGTCTCAAGTTTAGGGTTTACGGCACTGAGTTTACGTCGTTTTAGCCTTATTCAGGGTACTTCTAACTCTACTTGTAACTACACATGGACCTCTACCCGGTGAAGCTTCAGCCTTTGCGCGTGGGGAAGCTTCATCTTTCTTGCGGGCTTAAGCCGGGGTTTAGGAAGTTCGGAGTAGGCTCCTGTGGCCGTTGCGTTCCGGCCATGTGCCAGGAAGGCGCGGGCGTCAAGACCCGAAAGCAGCGCTGGCTCCTGCGAGAGCTCCTGCCTAGGTGCAAGAAGCGGCATCCTTGAAACGCGTACAACTTGTCTTGCTGTTTCGTAGGAAGCACCCCCTTTAAGGGATGGCGAAGGGTACCTATAATTCCGCCATTACCTACTAAGATCCCAGGGCCTAGTATGGAATTTAGGTACCAGAAGCCGTACTATACAATGCTAGAAGTGAACCCTTTCGGGGGACCCTGACCCCTGAACCGGTGCCGTGGTGCCCTCGGTCCCTTGCCATACTCTTGGCTTTCGGCAGGTTTTGGGTTTAGGCCAAGACGATCAAGCACTACATGGCCCTTTCCACGAAGCAAAAATGTAGGGGGACCTATAGCAATGACAGGTTGGTCTAGCACAGCTTGTAGTCTCCGGGAATTGGCAGGACCAGCAGACTACACCTAAGCACTCGACATGTTTGCAAGTCCATATCCGTTCGCGAAGACTTCCACAAGATCACAGTAAGTCTAGACCCGGGAGTAACCTCGGAATGACAAGGGCGCCCTTTTTGGTTTTAAGGGGATTATAAGGGAACCCCAACCCTAAAAAAAGGAAAAAGGGCCTACTCCCGGTTCTAGAAGTACTGCTAGCTGTTGCTTTCCAGCCCTGAAACTTGCCATGAACAAGAATAGCCTTGCAAAAAACCAAATTTGGTCCGGTCGCACAAGAGATGCTTGGCGAACATGCGCCTCAAGGATCATGTACCTCAGAGGTGTCGGGTTGATGGGGTTGAGGGCCCTTGATGCATGGCTCCTTAAGCCCTCGAGGATTCAGTAAAGGAGACATGAAACCGTAAACCCTAAACCCTAAACCACTTTCTCGGAGCAGGGGTTGCTGAAGCACTGCACTGCAGCCAAAGTGCTCGGGCGTCGTAAAGTCAACACCCGGTCCGTCGACGCCCAGGTCATGAAGAATCCTCTCCTTGTGCCAAACCCCTGGCCCCTTACCCTCATTGTTACAACTCTAGACCCCCAACCCTGAACCTTCAGCCCCAAACCCCTTCATGGTCCGGGCGACCGTCAAGGCCCCGAAACCCCAAGTATCCCTAATTGCCTAGACGCCCCATACTCATACCCCCCAACAAAACCCTGATAGTTGGTTCAAGGTACCCCTAAACCCTAAACCCTAAACCCTAAACCCTAAACCCTAAACCCTGTCACACTTGCAGCCCGACTGAGAGGCAGCGCCTTAGACTTAAAAGGTGTAGTTAGTGCTCATGGTGGGTCAAGGGTGTGTCAGGGGCTGGAGCTTAAGGTTTAGGGTTTAGGGTTTAGGGTTTAGGGTTTAGGGTTTCGGGTTTCGGGTTTAGGGTTCGGGCTTGAAGTTACTGACTTAACCCCATACTTCCAGTGACCTAATAGTTGAGTCCTCAAGGGTTCTAGTAACCTAACTACTTGGTCCCTGGAAGTCTAGGGTAAGATTGAACATAAAGTTTACGGTGTAGAGCCTGGTGTCATATTCGTTGCCTGCGTGCAAAAGACGTTTTGTCTTGCCTGGAATCGTAATACAAGGAATCTCAAAAGTATGTTGAAATATGCTGAAGTGTAGCTAAGACCGGGCGGGCACGCAACCTCCCTGGAATCATTGGAGCTTGCTTCCATGTTCTGACGTATAAGTCATCGTCTTCGCAGTGCTCGGCGACCTGATGTTTGAGGACTTGCAAAAAAGTTCTCGTGAACGTGAAAAAGCGTCTCATCATGCCTCCACGCTTCACATCGTGGCAGCTCTGCTTCTGTTCTTTCATCAGAAGTTGACACTACAACAAGTGATAGTCAACTGGCTTTCTATGTGAGCCTTTCCCACGTCGCTCTGTGCAATGACTTTCAGGAAGGTCGGCTTCACGCCCCTCCTCCGCGCAAACCACTCTTTGTGCATGGTGGTAAAGAAACATACGCAGGCAAAGCGTCAGAGAACCTGCCTCATTTCTACATCTTGTGGCTCACGTGCTCCCTGGCTTCTAGATCAGACATGAACTTCGTAAGCCGAAGGACGTTGCCTGAGTATGCATTGGAATTCGAACCGCTACATGTGTGATTCCTTTGCGCGCGCCGGCCTGCAACTCACATTTCTTGCTGTCCAATACAACGTCTGAGTTAAGTTTCGGTACATGTTCCCGTTGTCGGGTTGTGTCAAGCGCAAATGTGATATAGTAGTAGTGTCTGTGTAATCTGCTGCGCAGCATCTTGGCTTCAGTTTCTGGCCGGAAGTCCTGAGCCATCTTGTTGCCGTTCATATCATTCTTGTCGTCATTCTGCTTCTGGACTTTAGTATCATGCAGTCCTGTACCATAATGCATACTTCGAGAATCTGCCTGAGTCATCCAGTTGTGCACTCCGGACCTCCCAACGCCACCATCCAGAGCTGCTGCTGCCGCAACGCTGAGATCGCGTCGTGCTGACATGTTCCACTGTGCTCTTGTCCTGCAGAGATGCTGTGCTGTGCACATACCAATTTCCTGGGATTTCTACTACCTGCTACCACCACACCTCCAAAACTTGAATTTGTGCTTGCGAGTACAGGTGTTTGAGCCTTTTGCTTGCCAGATAGGTCGTCCGGTCTCTCCGGATTGGACGGCGCCCATATTGCGATAATTCAACTGGCGAGTTATTCTCGTTTTGCTTTGTTATCGTTGTGGCGAAGTTGTATTCGCATGCCCTCAAGACCAGTGATGACGATGAGAGCCGATCTGTTATGCTATGAAACCACCTTCACTTGAACCAATATAAGTGTGGCCTCCAAAACCCTGACTCACGATAAACCCTAAACCCTCATTCAGCCTAAACCCTAAACCCTCATTGAGCCCTAAACCCTAAACCCTAAACCCTAAATCCTAAACCCTGAACCCTAAACCCTATAAAGACCCTGAACTCTGCAGGCCGAAGGGCTGGAATCACGCCAGGGCCGTCCAAGGGGAGTCCGGCACCTCGCTGGAGGACGTTTAAGGGAGGGAGGTTTTAGGGTTTAGGGTTTAGGGTTTAGGGTGTAACCCAAGGTTCCCGAATGCTCCCTACTGCTCCCTAAGGCTCCCTAAGCTTCCTTAAGGTTCCCTAGGTACCTACCCCCCATGAACCCCCCCTCCCTTAAGAACCCTACAATAACGTGCAACACGAGGGGCCCAGTCTTAATGGGAACTATGTCTACAGGGACCTATAAGTATATTTATATATACATGCACATGTATATGTATACATGTGTATATACATACATGGCCCATAAAAGTCAAGTGTCACCAGGCCGTTTCGGAATTTGTGCTGAAGTCTTCTCGTAATCGTAAACACCCTGCCTTAAGAACCCCAAACCTACTTTTTTTGGTAGGTTCTTCTTATAAAACACTACAAACAAGTAGGGTTCTTAGTTCTTAGTTCTTACTGCAATCCCAACACCCTGTGTCACAAGTGATAGGCCAGAGGATGATTGCCAACCCCCCCACCCCCCCCCCGTCCCCGCTTCCACGATGATCAATCATCCTCAACTGTACCACAACCTAGTTGCTGAGTTCAGAAGCCCCAAGTCTGTGTATACACTTTGGACCCCCAAGCAATCTTCAGCTCCCTTTGTAAGGACCCCCCCCCCCCCCCCCCTCCGCCCGCCCGATAAAAAAAGATTCCTCTCTGTCGTCAACCCGAAAAAAAATGGCTGTCCGAAAGCCCCAAAAAGTTCCCCAAAACCCTGAAACAAAGTTCCCATAAAGCCCAAAAGCAGTTACCCTAAACACTAACAAGCCCTGCATACCTGGTAGTAACCATTGCATAATCAGAGTACCTCTTTTGGAGGTTGGTTACTTTACAAGGGGACCTTGAACCAAAAACAGGGAAAAGGCTACCACTAGGTTGAACCCTAAACCCTAACCCTAAACCCTAAACCCTAAACCCTAAGCCCTCCAACCCTAAACCCTAAACAACCCCTACATATCAACGCGAGGCACTAAGGGCCAGAAGGCATCGGGGGCCATCCAAGGAAGAGCACTTGGCATCTGCTGGGCGCTCCTGAACCCCGTGAACCCGTGGTTGATTGAGGGTTTAGGTTTTAGGGTTTAGGGTTTATAGGGTTTAGGGTTTAGGGTTTAGCGTTTAGGGTTTAGGGTTCAGGGTTTGCAGTATTTAGAGAGCTACAGGAGGTCAATGATGACAACGCGCACATCACCCAATCATCTGTTCCCGAGCACATCGCCTAATCATAATCATTGTGCATTTGAAGAGCCCTTGGGAGACTGAGATCATCTGAGGCTTCAATGTTTCGGGTCTTTGCGGTAGGAGGACAAGGAAGAACCTGACTCGAGAACCCTCCCGTGCAGCGGACTTTTACAGGATCCGTACTGGCTACAAAATGTGTGGCGTTTGGGTCTTCGAAAAAGTCGGGTTCTCACTGTGTCCAGTGACACATTTGTGGCCAACCCTAAACCCTAAACCCTAAACCTTAAACCCTAAACCCGAAACCCTAAAACCCTGCCCAGGAATTGTGGAGATTTTTCAGGTGCAGGGTCGTGGGCTGCCTTACCTGGAGCGCTCCTCTCTTTCGGGGAGAGGGCTGGGGGGGGAGCTGGGGGTTTAGGGTTTAGGGTTTAGGGTTTAGGGTTTAGGGTTTAGGGTTTAGGGTTTAGGGGGGAGCTGGGAGGGCGGGGCCCGGTCGCCTCCAAGAAGGATGTCTCCACGAAAAGGGAGGAGCGCAACTTGTGTAGAAGCTCCTCTGTGTGCTGAGCTCCCACAGTCCTCAGCTGTGGGTAGGTTAGGTTTAGGGCTTAGGGCTTAGGGCTTCGGGCTTCGGGCTTCGGTCTTCGGGCTTAGTGTTTAGGGCTTAGGGTTTAGGGTTTGGTGCAGGGTCTATGGAGTCAAGAGGTCTAAGGGGGGAGGAGGGAGGCCTGGATGTCTTTATGCTGTAGGGTTTGGGGGTGCAGGCACCCGAAGGCATCAAGCACGTGCAAGAGCCCCCCCCAAAGAGCTCATACTTGAAGGCGGGGGGGGGGGGGGCCTAAACCCTAAACCCGAACCCTACACCCTAAACCCTAAACCCCAAACCCCAAACCCTAAACCCTAAACCCTAACCCTAACCCTAAACCCTAAACCCCATAAACCCAGGGGGGGGGGGGGGGAGGAGGAATGCAGGGATCGAGGATTGAGGATCATGGTCACTGACATTGTGCAAGACCGACATTTTTGTGTGTAGGGTTTAGGGTTTAGGGTTCAGGGTTTAAGGACATGTCCTCCGGCGGCAGAAAGAAACTCAGTCTGAGTTAACGGGGATGTCCCCCTTATATGAAACACAAACGAGTATTGCCCTACAAAGGTTTTGGGGGATCGGGGCTCTGGGATTCGAGTTTAGGGCTTCGCGTTCAGGGTCAGAGGCTTCCTCGGGGGCCGACATGAACCCAAATTCGTTTATGTTCATAGACATGAATGGGAATTATAGATACATACACTTTATTTGGAACATAGCAATGCAGGGTCCATGACCCCAAATTTTAGGGTGCACTTGGTCCCCAGGGTTGTGCCAGCAGCAGTCGCCAAGTGGCAGTGCACCCTGCACCCGAAGGGGAGCCAGCAACAGCAGCCAGCAGCATGTCACGCGTGCGCACGTCGACAAGGCCATTCTGATTCCTCCTGTAAACCCTAAACTTTAAACCCTAAACCCTAAACCACCTGCAACCCTGAGCCCTGCTATAACGGCTGTCCAAGCTGAACTGCTCCGTCTGTGGCACGGCGCACCTGTCTGCAACCAACATGCGTTTTCGCGGCCGAAACAGCTGCAGCGAAGAGACGCCAAACCGTACACGGAAGCCGATGGGTCTGGGGGCATAGGTTGGGAAAAAACTAACCCTAAACCCTAGGCTCTGAAACCCTAATGAACTAACAAATCCCAAAACATCCGGAACAAGCTAAGCCCGCACAAGCTCGAAGAAGACCTTCTCCATCTCCGGAACTGTTCTAATAGCACCCAGCTGCCCTTCCGATGTTGCTACAGGGTTCTGAAGGGAGGGGTTTAGGGTTTAGGGTTTAGGGTTTACTAAACTTTGGCGTAGACCCTGGGAAAAAAACATATACTTTTTCAGGCATGAGTAGCTAGAATAGGAACCCAGAACCAAAACAAGTATTAAAGTGTATGGTACTCCAAAACCCAGCATGGGGTTCTGAAGGGAGGGGGGGGGGTTCAAGGGGGATGTAACCCAAGATCCGCTCACATACTCCTTACTACTCCCTAAGGCGCCTAAGCTTTTTTAATGTTGCTTGCCGATAGACAGAGGCGACAGCCCTGAAACCCTAAAACCCCCTCTGTAACACCCGAAAACCCTACTTAGGACTGGGGTTCGGAGCTTCAAACTCAACCTTCCGGATGAGTGTGGCAGAGGCAGATGCCTATCGGTTGGCGGGGTTTGTAGGGTTTAGGGTTTAGGGCTAGGGTTTGGGGTTTAGGGTTTAGGGTTTAGGGTTTGGGGTTTAGGGTTTAGAGTTTAGGGTTCAAGGTTCGTCATAGAGACAGCTGCGCATGAGACAGGCTGAGGCCCTCCATGCTCAACGGAGTTGTCCGAGCCCATACTGACCCTAAACCCTAAACCCTAAACCCTAAACCCTAAACCCTAAACCCCAAACCCCAAACCCCAAACCCTAAACCCTAAACCCTAAACCCTAAACCCTAAACCTGCGTGCTTTGGGCACCTCAGGCCCGGCTACTCGCAGCACGAGCGCAAGCACAGGCGCAGCCATCGAAAAAGCGGTTGCGGGGGGCTTCTTGTCAAGCCTTTCCGCCTTTTTGTGCAAAAGAACCCAGAGAGCCCAATAGCCCTTAACAAAGGAATACGTCATATATGTATGTATGTATATATGTATATAAATATATATATATATATATTATTTATGTACATATCTTCAGATGTCTTTTCCGGTTTCGGGTATACAGTAATCATTGCATTCCTGAATTGAGGGGTATGGGGCTTGCCGGGAAAGAAACGTCTCAGAAGGTTGCGGCGAACATTCAGGGTGATAGGGCTGAAGGCGTTGGAACTGAAGCCCGCACTGTGCAATGTGAGTCATTCTGCATTGGATGCCATGTGATTTCGGCACAGAATGTGCTATTCCTGCCACACTTGAGTGGTCGGCTTTGGTGCGGAGGTTTGAGGAGCTTCGTTCAGGGTCCAGGGATTTTAGGGCATTTGGGTGTGAGGCCCAGGGTTTATCGGGGTACATGGGGCTGAACGGCCGAAACCCCTGAATTGCAACGCTTAGAAGACAGACTGGGAAACTCATTGCAAGAGCCACGCAAGTCCCAAATTGTAAATGGAGGAGGTTCTATGAACCTCTCTGTCACCACGAAGCCTGTTGAAAGACGAGCTAGGATGTAAAGCACAGGACTTGGAACGAAAGATCTTGAGGTTCATCTTGAACCATTCGGATACACATTTTATATAATCTACTTATTCATCTGGCATGTCTACAACTACGAGTACCCAACTGGAAAGGTAACGCTAGACTGGATAGCTCTTGGTAGTGGAGCAACAGTGCTCTCACCAATTGTAAACATTGGCAAACTTGTGAGAGCTTGAACTCGTCAAGTACGAACACATGCTTCTACCTCCCGGCCACTTGCACCCTGCCTGAAAGGCACGAGCACAGCGCTCCAATCCAAGTTACTCTGCTGTCAAGAGATGTCTCATGCATCGAGCTGGAAGAGCGTCGGGGAAATGTCAAAGGAGCAAAGGAGCAACACAGCAACGCCTGAAGAAGGGTGTCATCAGATTGTGGTCAGTACACACCGGCTGAAGCGCATGCTCCCAGCCGAATGCCCCCATGTGCTGGGACGGCAGCGGCACCGCATTCTGACGCGTTCTGACCCTTGTCTGCTCCGAGCCGTTAAACACATCCAGATTCATTGCTGGATGTGTATTGGTAATGGAGCAGTGACACCGTGACAGGCTCTCATGCAAATTCTTTGCTCCGAGCCACTACGCTCACTATGCTCGTCAAGAATCTTGAGCAGATGGTGAGGGTATTGGTAATGCAGCAGCAGAGCTAAACCCGACACAAGGGGTGAGTATCCCGGAGGTTCACACAGCTGAGGCTTGCTGAAGCGCATGCTCCCAGCCGCATGCCCCCATGTGTCGGGACGGCAGCGGCACCGCATTCTGATGCGTTCGCTCTTTGTCTGCTCCGAGCCGTTAAACACATCCAGATTCATGGCTGCATGTGCATTGGTAATGGAGCAGTGACACCGTGACAGGCTCTCATGCAAATTCTTTGCTCCGAGCCTCTATACGCTCACTGGTAAATGCAGCAGCAGAGCTAAACCCGACAAAAGGGGTATCCCTGATATGCACACAGCTGAGTCTTGCTGAAGCGCATGCTCCCAGCCGCATGCCCCCATGTGCTGGGACGGCAGCGGCACCGCATTCTGACGCGTTCTGATCCTTGTCTGCTCCGAGCCGTTAAACACATCCAGATTCATGGCTGGAAGTGTATTGGTAATGGAGCAGTGACACCGTGACAGGCTCTCATGCAAAGTATGCTCATCAAGAATCTTGATCAGATGGTGGTGAGGGTATTGGTAATGCAGCAGCAGAGCTAAACCCGACACAAGGGGTGAATATCCCGGATGTTCACACAGCTGAGGCTTGCTGAAGCGCATGCTCCCAGCCGCATGCCCCCATGTGCTGGGACGGCAGCGGCACCGCATTCTGATGCGTGCTGCTCCTTGTCTGCTCCGAGCCGTTAAACACATCCAGATTCATGGCTGGATGTGTATTGGTAATGGAGCAGTGACACCGTGACAGGCTCTCATGCAAGTTCTTTAATCCGAGCCACTACGCTCACTACGCTCGTCAAGAATCTTGATAAGATGGTTTGTAAATGCAGGAGCAGAGCTAAACCCGACAAAAGGGGTGAGTATCCTGGACGTTCACACAGCTGAGGCTTGCTGAAGCGCATGCTCCCAGCCGCATGCCCCCATGTGCTGGGACGGCAGCAGCACCGCATTATGATGCGTTCTGCTCCTTGTCTGCTCCGAGCCGTTAAACACATCCAGATTCATGGCTGGATGTGTATTGGTAATGGAGCAGTGACACCGTGACAGGCTCTCATGCAAATTCTTTGCTCCGAGCAACTACGCTCAGTACGCTCATCAAGAATCTTGATAAGATGGTGGTGAGGGTATTGGTAATGCAGCAGCAGAGCTAAACCCGACACAAGGGGCGATTATCCCAGACGTTCACACAGCTGAGTCTTGCTGGAGCGCATGCTCCCAGCCGCATGCCCCCATGTGCTGGGACGACAGCAGCACCGCATTATGATGCGTTCTGCTCCTTGTCTGCTCCGAGCCGTTAAACACATCCAGATTCATGGCTGGATGTGTATTGGTAATGGAGCAGTGACACCGTGACAGGCTCTCATGCAAATTCTTTGCTCCGAGCAACTACGCTAAACACTCAGCTCTTCTAGGGACAAACACAAAGGCATCTCGGCGTGGACGTCGACAAGCATCTATCTGAATGCCAGCGCCGGGCAAGTCAAGGCTGGGGAACCCTCCTCAACCCCAAGCCCTACACCCTAAATCCTGAATTCAGGGCTTTAGGGGTTCGGCTTTAGGTGTATCGGGTTTGAGGGCTTGAGGGGCTAAGGGTTTGAGTTGTATCTAGAATCTAGATAAGATGGTGGTGAGGGTATTGGTAATGCAGGAGCAGCGCTAAACCCGACACAAGGGGCGAGTATCCCAGACGTTCACACAGCTGAGTCTTGCTGAAGCGCATGCTCCCAGCCGCATGCCCCCATGTGCTGGGACGACAGCGGCACCGCATTATGATGCGTTCTGCTCCTTGTCTGCTCCGAGCCGTGAAACACATCCAGATTCATGGCTGGATGTGTATTGGTAATGGAGCAGTGACACCGTGACAGGCTCTCATGCAAATTCTTTGCTCCGAGCAACTACGCTAAACACGCAGCTCTTCTAGGGACAAACACAAAGGCATCTCGGCGTGGACGTCGACAAGCATCTATCTGAATGCCAGCGCCGGGCAAGTCAAGGCTGGGGAACCCTCCTCAACCCCAAGCCCTACACCCTAAATCCTGAATTCAGGGCTTTAGGGGTTCGGCTTTAGGTGTATCGGGTTTGAGGGCTTGAGGGGCTAAGGGTTTGAGTTGTATCTAGAATCTAGATAAGATGGTGGTGAGGGTATTGGTAATGCAGGAGCAGCGCTAAACCCGACACAAGGGGCGAGTATCCCAGACGTTCACACAGCTGAGTCTTGCTGAAGCGCATGCTCCCAGCCGCATGCCCCCATGTGCTGGGACGACAGCGGCACCGCATTATGACGCGTTCTGCTCCTTGTCTGCTCCGAGCCGTTAAACACATCCAGATTCATGGCTGGATGTGTATTGGTAATGGAGCAGTGACACCGTGGTCGACAGGCCTCATGCAAATTCTTTGCTCCGAGCAACTACGCTCAGTACGCTCATCAAGAATCTTGATAAGATGGTGGTGAGGGTATTGGTAATGCAGCAGCAGAGCTAAACCCGACACAAGGGGCGAGTATCCCAGACGTTCACACAGCTGAGTCTTGCTGAAGCGCATGCTCCCAGCCGCATGCCCCCATGTGCTGGGACGGCAGCGGCACCGCATTCTGATGCGTTCTGATCCTTGTCTGCTCCGAGCCGTTAAACACATCCAGATTCATGGCTGGATGTGTATTGGTAATGGAGCAGTGACACCGTGACAGCCTCTCATGCAAATTCTTTGCTCCGAGCCACTACGCTCACTACGCTCGTCAAGAATCTTGATAAGATGGTGAGGGTATCGGTAATGCAGCACCAGAGCTAAACCCGACAAAAGGGGTGAGTATCCCGGACGTTCACACCGCTGAGTCTTGCTGAAGCGCATGCTCCCAGCCGCATGCCCCCATGCGCTGGGACGGCAGCGGCACCGCATTCTGATGCGTTCTGCTCCTTGTCTGCTCCGAGCCGTTAAACACATCCAGAGTCAAGGCTAGGTGCGTATTGGTAATGGAGCAGTGGCACTGTGACAGCATGTCTGCCTTTCGGATAGTTCGTACAGATTTCGGCACATAAGCCTAGGCACAGGTAAAGCCCAACCACCCCCGCCCAACCCCTGGCTTTAATCCTCTACATCCATAATGCCCACCCAAAACACGAAATCCTTTCTAAATCCTAAACACCATCTTGGGGTACTGGCCTACTCGAATTCCAGCCCCTAAACTCTACTAAACCCTAACCCCTAAACCCTCAACCCCAAACCGCCGAACCCTAGCTTCCTAGTACCCCAACCCCCTTAGGAGCCGTAACTTGGTCAACTGGACTCTCCGAAAGCCTGAAACCTTTACCCCGAAACAAAAACCCTAAACCCTAAACCCTAAACCTCTAAACCCCCCCAAGCCCCTTAATCCCGAAACACTCAACGTAACACTCTACACCCCTGCACCCAAACCTCTAAACCCCGAACACCTAAAGCCAATCCCTTCAGCGACCTTCTTCTTGGCCCCAGATTTTGGCTTGCCCACGGCCTTAGTGGTTTAGGGCTGAAGGTTTGGGATTGGGGTCTGAAGGTTTCAGGGCTTCAGGGTTTAGGGTTGAGGGGGTAGTGCTTTGTGGTTCGGGCTTCCGTTTGGGTGGTCAGAGACCCAAAACAAAAAGGGAATAAGGGTTTTGCTGGGGAACCTAGATAAAGAAACGCATGGAGGCGGCCCCCCTCAGGAAACCCAAAAGGGGGGAGGGGCAGAAAAGAAAAATGACACCCCCCCCCCCCCCCCCTGGGGTTCTTTTGTTGTGGAGCGGGGAAGCGGGGGAGGGGTCCGGGGGAGGGGTCCTGATGATTGTGCAAATATTCTATAAGAGTAAGAGAGAGAGAGAGAGAGAGAGAGAGAGAGAGAGAGAGAGAGAGAGAGAGAGAGAGAGAGAGAGAGAGAGAGAGATAGATAGAGAGAGAGAGATGACACGATTTCGACAAGGGAACCCATAACCAAAAAAGGGTAAAGGGTACCACCGGGCTACCAAGATTCTGTTAAACCCAAAGAACCCAAATTGCAGCTTCAACTCCTTTACGCCCTGAAGCCTTAAGGGGGCCACAAAAGCGTATTAGCATTCTGGGCCCCGTAACAGTCTATGAATTTCAGGGCGCTTCTGAACACTTTGCGGCTTAGGGTTGGTTGGTTCGAAGTCCCGATAGGACAGGCTTGTGGGCTCAAGCCAGATGCGTAAGCTTGCAGGAGCCCAAAGTGTGAGGCCAGCATGCCAGCACCGCAGTGTCTGGACGTAGCACCCCCCAACACTACCTGCGCGCGCTTCTCACGTAACTGTCTTCCAGAAGTTCTGCGCATTTCGCAGAATCTCAATGGCAAGCCTCACTACTTCCGAATATGCCGGATGAGATGGGGGAATGGCCAGAATTTTCAGAGAGGAAAAGTCAGCGCCAAGGCGTAGACAGACCTCCCTCAATTCTGCCAAGCGTTCGCAAGAGCATACGACATGAGCGGTGACGTTCGAGTAGCGCCTGCCGCAAAGAACGCACGCCTGAATGCGAGCAGCGGTTTGCCTCTGGTTCACATGCCCAAGTGCCACGTAGCCACACCTAATCATAATCAAGGCACGCTGCCCCAGCAATGTCTCCCAGGGAGCATAATTGGACAGTGCTTCCTGTAGATGGCTACATGGACCAGAGGTCAGCTGGGAATATGGTATGGGGGAGGTGTGCGAGGAGACAGATTCATCCCACGTGCGTTTGGCAGCGGCCAAGAGCTCACCTTTAACGAAACTTTTGTAGGATCCACCAGCCTTACCTGACAATACCCACTCAGGCCAGTCCAAGATGTGATGCTCACGAAGCAGCGCCAAGGATCTGACAGGCCAGTTTGCTGCCTTTGACGTGAGTCCGCGGGTGAAAGTCAGGCCGGCAAGTGTTTCGTCACCCTGTTGCCACAGCGTGGCCCTCACCAGAGCGACTTCTAAAACTACACGAGCTTGAGTACCAAAAGTCCACCCAAGCTCGCTGAAGCACACAGCAGCATTGCGCCACTTGCTTGCTCCTGTAAGTTTCCGAGACCAGCGCTCGTAGGCGAGTCTGAGCGCGCTCTGTGCTGCTTCATCTAAACCCCACAACCACCTACCAAACCGAAGGACCGACTCAACCTTCTGGTCAAAGACAAGCACGGCAAAGGCTAGTGGGATCCGCTGCGAAGTCAACAACGTACACAACATGTCCACTGTGGCAGAGCACTGTGCCAGAAGTGGAGTGACATGAGACATCCACTCACCACACACTGCCCATTTAAGTCCGAGCCATTTGTGAACCTGCACGCCCTCAAGCGGGGCAGGAAGCAGAGGGGCATGCTGAGGAAAAAGCAAAGGATGAATTACTGTCTCAGATTGCTGCAAGCCTGGTCTCCACTGCTGCACTACAGTCTTGGATGGCCCCAAATGGAGAGAAACCTTGACGTCCCAAGCCCAAGCAGCAATGACTCCAAGGGTCCTAAGCGCTTCTCCTCGGCTGGACGCCAAAATGAGGGGATCATCGGCATGCAGCAAAACGGGTATCCTGTCATTGTCTAGCAAGTCTAAAGCACGTGCACAAGTTGCTTCAAGATCAGAATTGCGAGCCAGGTCAGCTACACGGGGCAGCTGTCGGCCAGAGGCAATATCGTCTGCAATGCTTTGTGCCTTGCGCAAGTCAGGACTCCCGGAGCCTGACCAGGTGTGAGAGGCCCAGGCCTTAGGAACCCAAGCGCTTGTCGCAAGACCACAACGAGCTTCACGCATTCTGCGAACAAGCGTGTTTGGCAAGAAGTTGAAGCAGGGCGGTCCGTACTTGCTCCCTTCCGGAACACCATCAGCTACTGTGGCAACAGACTCGCCACTTAGCGCAATTCGCCAGAAGTCGCACTTCATGACCGAAGCTAGTAAAGCGAAGGCCCCATCTCGAATACCTGCAGTGTGCCGAGCCTCAACCAAAAGCAAGTCCCGCCATGCCCTCGGAAACGCGTGAACGAAGTCAGCAAAAATGACAAAGAAAGCGCGACGCCAGCACTTGTAGTCATCTTGAAGGACAGAGAGAGTGAGATGATGATGCAAAACATCAAACCGATAGCCAGTTTGAACGAAATCAAAAGATGAGTGAATGACAGGGCTGATCCTTGACATGAGGATTTCTTCTTGAAGAAGACCATGCAGCTCAGCCACTCCTAGAAAGCGGAAAGACGATTCGTGACAGACAGGCCCCTTCTTATGCTTGACAATAAGAAAACGATGCCTCCACAAGGCTGGCCGCCAGGCAAGGCATGATGGCCCGCATACTTGTTGCAGTTTCCAAGCGGCATGACACCACTCATTAGTACCACAAGCTAGCAAAACTCGATGTGAAAGAAAAGGCGTGACAGCGCGTGATGACTGGATGTTTGCAGCAGCCCTGTACCACTCAGAGAAGTCAATCTCAGCATCCCAGGGTCCCTCACCAATGTGTGCACGAGCTTGACGACTATACTCCTGCGCGCGGCGGCAAACCTCAGAATGGAACTCAGCATTGTAGCTAGTCGGCCACTTTCCCTGCGTAAATAGCTGGGAGATCCATGCCTCATGGCTTGCTGCCCTTGTCAGCAGGCGTCCATCGTGGTTTAGGCGTTCTGGCGGTTGAGGACGCGCAGGCCTGAGCCATCTCAGACAAGTAGAGATGGCCGACTGTGGCCAGATCCCATAGGGCTTCGGGCCCTGAACCCTAAACCCTAAACCCCTAAACCCCTAAACCCCTAAACCCCTAAACCCCTAAACCCCTAAACCCCTAAACCCCTAAACCCCTAAACCCCTAAACCCCCAAACCCTAAACCCTAAACATCCCTAAACCCTAAACCCTGGCGTCTTTCGCTCCGTCCAAGCCCACGGGCTTTTGGCCGCGGCCTCGCTCAGTGGGGAGTCTGCTCGGGGGATCGAGGGGCTGCGGCCTCCGACACGCTGCGCCCTCCGACACCCGAAACCCGAAACCCTAAACCCCAAACCCCAAACCCTAAACCCTAAACCCATTGGGGTTGAGGGTTGAGGGTTTCGGGCTGCTACATGAACCCTTGGAGGGATCCTAGTTGGGGTTTAGAGTTTCGGCCTTATAGGGTTTAGCGATCCTACTGAAACCCTAAAACCTAAACCCTAAACCCCATAAGCCCTAAGCCGTAAGCCCTAGCCATAAACCCTAAACCCTAAACCCGAAACCCTAAACCCTGAACCCTAACAACTACCAGGACCTCGAAGAGAATCAGCAAACTTGTGCTGTCGGTCGGGGTATTCAGTGCATTCAACTTAGTAGCCCAGTGACCATATCACAATAAACCCTAAACCCTTTTTTGGGTTGGTTCATTTACAAGGGAACCCAGTACAAAAAAAGGGAAAGGGTACCAATGGGCTACCAAGTTTGTGCAACAAAATGCTGGGGGAAGAGCAGCGGTGGGCAGTGACCATCCTCTACAGGTGCGTGAGGGGGGTGCACTGCGCCAAGGATGGGTTCTCCAAGCTTCTTCGTACGCCACTTCGGTCGATTGTGAAGCTGTGAAAGAGCCCTGAGCTCTAACTACGACCATCAAGCAGCGCCTCTCTGCCGACAAATTGAGACTCTGTACATAATTACACGCTGAGGCAGCTCTTCGGCGGCTATTTTGGGCATACGGTGTCCCGCGGATAGGGCAAGAAGCATCTCCGAAGAGGGAGGGCATGTTCAGGGTTTAGGGTTTAGGGTTTACAGGAGGCTTGGGCCACTGCATAGACCAGACTTGCGAGACACCTGCACTCGAAGAAGTGTGCGAGTGTCAACCCACTATGACAAGATGGTTTCTTACAATTGAGAACAGTCCTCGTGCGCATAGCGGTGGGGGCGGCAACATAACGCCAGCTTCCTGGAAGTACGTACCTGGCCTTAACCTTACAGAATAACCTTAATCGAATCCGCAGACATCTACAAGTATGTTTTTTGTACGGGATATACGGAGACATATCTCAGTATACGTGTCTATGTAAATGTGCATACATGTGCACATGCACATCAGTATGCATAGACTGTAAGGCCCGCAAGAACAGAATATGAACATGCCAGCGCTCTGGCGCCCTTCCTCCGCCTTGCCTTTGATGTCCTTGCTTCAGGTTTCCCGAAGCCGCCACCAAAAGTTCAAAAAAAAAACAGGTCCTTCGTCGCCTAAACTCCTAAGCCGGAAAAGATCCCAAAACCTCAGCCATCCCCCAGCAAAGTCGGCCCTAAACCCTACACCCTCAACCCTAAACTCTAGACCCTAAACCCCTAAACCCTAAACCCCAAACCCACTAGCTCGCAGGGCTGGCATCTTCTTCTGTGTCGTCGGTGTCATCGTCATCCAAGAGCTGAAACTCCTCGATGCCTCCCAGACTTGGCTGCATCTTCTTCTTGGTGTCATCGAAGGCCTTGAGAGGGCGCTTTTTGGGTCTAGGAGTTTGGGGTTTAGGGTTTAGGAGTTAGGGGTCTACCTGAACCCCCCAACTACCCTTTCATAAAGGGGGTTTATATACCCTACTATTATGGTTAAAGGGTAGTTGGGTGGTGCTGGTCTAGGAGTTTGGGGTTTAGGGTTTAGGAGTTTGGGGTTTAGGGTTTAGGCGTTTGGGGTTTAGGGTTTAGGAGTTGGGGTTTAGGGTTTAGGGTAAGTTTAGGGCGCAGGGTTCAGGGTTCAGGGTTCAGGGTATAGGGTGCAGGGTTTAAGGTGTACAAGGGTAAGGGTTTGTTTGGCGTTTAGGGTGGTTTGTAAGGGTTTTCGGGTGTAGGGCTTCGGGGTCTATAACATTTACAACGGTTTAAGGCTTGTAAGGAGGGTCTGTGTTTGTTTAGGGTTTAGCGTTTCGGGCGAAAACAGGGGTTTAGGGTGTAGGGATCCAGATTAGCAACAGGGCTTCTTTTTCCCTCACCCAAGACCCTAAACCCCTACACCCCTAAACCCTGAAACCCTAAAACCTAACCCTAAAACCCTAAACCGATATCCCTAAACCCGAAACCCGAAACCCTACAAACCCCTAAACTTATTTAAGCATATATACATATATACATATATATATACACACGTATATATATATATATATATATATATATATAGATATAGATATGTACGTGTATATATATATATATACATAAACACGTCCACACCACCCTTCTTCGCCGCCGGGCGCTTCTGCCGGGCATCCTCCGATCTAGAGAGCGGATGGTTTAGTGTTTAGGTTTAGGCAGGGTTTAGGGTTTAGGGATTAGGGTTCAGTGGGGCTTTCGCAGTTGCGCCCAAAACTTCTCCAGGGGGTTCAGATCCGCCGATGGTGCCAGGACAGAGCACAGCGTGTTGCCTCCGGCAGCCATGGCACGGTTGCTTGCGGCCGTGCGCAAGAAGGCTTCATTGTCACATGCCGTTGCGCTGGTCGAAAGCGCTGCATAGCGCTCGTGATTGCCACTCCGGACCACGCGGCACCATCTTCCTCTGTATATCCTCCACAAGCGAACCCCTTTAACGGTAAAAATGACCGGGTTGTGATCCCTACACCCCCCAACAGGGTTTAGCATCTAGGATTCAGGGCTAAGTGTTAACCCTAAACACGCCCTAAACACGAAAAGGCAGCGAGGACGAACCCTAAGCGACCCACAATAAGGCTATACTAGGAGGAAGATGTAGTTTACCTAAGGGCTCCTATGTAGTACCTTCTTGGGGTAGTATACAGGTGGGGTACGCGCGTAAGGGATCCGAAAATCAAGCTTGCATTTTGGCTTTGGGGTTCTCAAAGCGCTTGGCTTGATGGGGGTTTGACCCTCTGGTACAATTCTGAGCGGTACATGTACTGCAATGGAACCAATACTACATAGAAGCACAAACTATGCTTAAAATTTCGTCTCAACCCCCACACGCAGGCAGTGTTGATTTCAACTCTCATGTTCAACCCCAGAGAGCTTCACGTGTACATACACCCCACTTACAGCTCCTGCCCTAAACCCTAAACCCTAAACCCTAAACCCTAAACCCTAAACCCTAAACCCTAAACCCTAAACCCGGACTACTTGTTTCATGAAGAGCCGGCACTATGTCTGCGAACCTCCCGGAGCCTTCAAGTTGGCATTTCCCAAACTACTAGGGCCCCTGCCATACGACCCGAACATACGATGATCCTTGGCATAAGAACCCCGACCACCTAAACCCTAAACCCTAAACCCTAAACCCTAAACCCTAAACCCTAAACCCTAAACCCTAAACCCTAAACCCTAAACCCTAAACCCTAAACCCTAAACCCTAAACCCTAAACCCTAAACCCTAACCTAAACCCTAAACCCTAAACCCTAAACCCTAAACCCTAAACCCTAAACCCTAAACCCTAAACCCTAAACCCTAAACCCTAAACCCTAAACCCTAAACCCTAAGCCCTAAGCCCTAAGCCCTAAGCCCTAAGCCCTAAGCCCTATACCAAAATGAAGGCTATCTTTACCCAAATACTTCTCCACCCAAGAATACCCCTAAACCCTCACCCCCCCAGTACTGCTTTTCATCCTTTGGTGAACTCAGCATAGGCGACCATTTTCGCCCGCCGGCTTAGGAACTAGGGTTGAAGGTTCTTTATTATAGGGTAGGGGGGCGTTGGGGGGGGGTGGGGGGTGAGGTCAAGTTGGGAGCGGAACAGGGAGCGCCTTTGATACTGAAACAGCTACCCTTTCTTTGAAGTTCTAGGCTTCTCTGAACCCTGAACCCTAGACCCTAAACCCTAAACAGTTTAGGAAAATGTAGGCTTTTGGATCACGGCCAAGCTGCTATGTCGGAGAACTGCAAACACAACTTCGTGTCGACCTCGCTCTGGCCGCAGTCCTGTCTACGCAACTGCCTAGACCTGTCAATTTCCCCCAAAGGGTTTAGGGTTTAGGGTTTAGGGTTTAGGGTTTAGATCAACAAAATCCATACCCACGGAGCCAGAAAGAAGCCCCTTCATTGAGGAAACGCCTTAGCCCCAAATGAGGGTCATCTAGTTTAAGCCCTATTCATTTTCAGAGGTGTCGGGCCAGGGGCTCAGATTGTGGGGCGAGCTCACAGGCTCGAGTAGAAAGAGCTGCGCGAGGTTTGGGGAGCCCGAGCAGAAATTAGGAAAGTGCAGCACTCTGTCCCGCCGCCACGTGG